TAAGCAAAATTCGCCCTGAGTACCAACCAATCAACATGTAATTGGTCATGAAAGCCTTCAATACAGAAAGTCAAAGCACTATGTATTTAAATACAACTGAATGGACATCAGCAATTTGGAACAGTTGAATTGAATATACTGGTTTCCAATCGTAAAGACAAGCTTCCAAATTGAAGAGATACGATCCAGAGAATGCTACATCTCACTACCCAGATAGCAGAGGAATAAAGAGGATTCAAAGCCACAGCTCTTTCTTTGACCAGCCTGGTAAGCGGACTTCCATTCAAATGGACCTGTGTAGGTACATATATACAGTGACACACACAGTGCCTAGCAAGCGAATTGTTATTTGCATGGTAAGCACGAGGCGCCCTGGTTCAAATATCCTCGTAATTTCTCAATATATACCCTAAGTGATAAGAAGAAGATTTAAGAAACTCTCTGCGCCCTCCAGAACTTGTGACCAAGTCCCCACATCGTCCACATTTCTCACGCTCAATGTCTTGACAGCTCTCTGCTTTTCCGAATTGTCTAGCAGCCCACGTGGATGGCTAAGAGAGAAGGTTTTTGTTAGTAAATTTCCCGAGAACCGCACAAAACAAACCAGAAACAAACTCACCATTGGCGAACAGCGCATAAGTATCGGCGTTATTGAGAGCCTGCGAAGTCGACAGTCCACTCGCAGCCGAGTATCCGTAGCCAAGATCATCGGTGCCAGCGATCTGGGACAGGTGAGTAGTCTCGTGCAGTACAGTGGTCGCCTTGTCCTGAGCGTGGCAAGTGCTCGAAACAGCGGGCAAAGCCGAGAAAAAGATGGGGCAGTAGGCGATGACGGAGTAGCTGGGGTATGTGTAGGCGAGCACGTTGGTCTTGCATCCGCTGAGGACGTCCGTGCAGTACGTGTCACTCGCACCAGAGGTGGTGGAGCCGCACTCGGATGCAACCTTCGAGAAGACAGAGGCGACGGTGGAGCGGGTAGCAGTCGTGGAGGACTTGAAGTACTCAGTCAACTTGGCCGCGGCGCCTGAAGTGGCGGCGGTGCTGGCTGCTGCAGCGAATGAGCGGCAGGAGGAGAGAGCTGTGTCAAAGTTCACGTTAGCAAAATCGAGTAATACGGTACTTTGTGGACGTAAGCAAATCCTCGCAAGTGCTCAGGGCCCCTGAGCCTGCTACTCCAGCCCCTATCGAACACGCGAGGTAGATGATTCCCACTATCCAGAGACAAACGTACCGCTGTTAACAGCAGAGAGCTGGGTTCCGGTGCAGTCACTCTGCACATCAGTGCGCTTGACCTTGTCGTGGAAATCGCGGCGGACCTGAGCGGCTGCGCTGCCATCGATCTTAGAGGCGAGGGTGTTGGAGCTGTAGGCGACGGCACCGGTCAACTCGGTGCTGTCAATGTCCGCGGTCAGGAAAGATCCGCTGGCGACGAAGTCGAACTGGCCTCCGGAAGAGAGATCGTGGACCAAGGCAGGGTCCCACTCGGCCTCGACGGTCTCGCCGGGCGCGATAGTCTGGAACGCATCCTCCTCCAAGCCGGTGGTTTGGAGGCGGACACGCATACCGTCGAACGCCACCTGCTCGGCTATGAGTGGTATTATTAGTCCATGATATACTTGTCTGACAACACATAGGACATAGTCGGGCAACGAATTTGAGTTTTGAGACGTGAAAAACATAAGAGATACTCACCGCCAGTGAAGACCTTGGTTTTCTCGATAGGGATGCTATCGAGGATAGAACCAGCCTTGAAAACCTTGATGGCGGAAGCACCAGTGTTGGTGATGGAAGCCTTCACGGCTGAGTTGCCAACACTCTCGATCTTGACCGCCAAGGGGCTGTCACGCTTCTCGAGTCTGTCGATCGAGACCGCAAGTGCGGAAGCAACAAAGCAAAGAACAGCGTTGAACTTCATGATGACTGTGTGCGGTGGGAATCTTGTTGATCTTAGCTGGGTTGGCTCTGGAGGACGCAGGAGATGAGGGGTGAAGCTCTTCAACCAGACCTGAGAAGAGAGAATACCCGAGTGAATTATATAGCCGATGATAGTTGGCCCTCTGGACTAAAACATCGCGAGTATCCCGGCAACCATTTTTCGAGCCTCTTCTCCAGGTCTAAGCTGGAAATGGCAAAATAAGATAAGGTGATTTGACCAGCGCCTTTCCGATCATAATCCCAAGACCAATAAGGAAGCTGTGCCCAAAGTGTTGACTTTAATGCCTTGGCTTTTTCCACCTCGATATGTGTGTAATATATGCAGGGCAACATCGCGGTTTGTGGGATGGCGAAAGACTATGTGTGAAGCGAGGCCAAGAACCAATTGACAGCCTTGCTTGCACAGCTGAGGCCCATGCGGCACTCTGAATTGTCATTTTCGCCTGCGGAGGAAATGCTAGATAGGGACTCCAATGGTCATGGGATGGCTCACCACAGGGTCCAGAGTACTTGGACATGGCTGCTCCACCTCGACGCGAGATGCGGCTCTATGGTATTTCGAATAAATTTCAGGCCTAGGGACCGAAGCCTCTTCAATTGTACCAAGCCGGGTTGAACCCATCAAGCTTTTGGAGATTTGCATAGGCTTACTACGTTCGTGCCTATCCCGTACTACTTTCTGGCCTATCACCATGTTTATTTCCCGCCTTGGAAAGCTTGCTCTTCGACTTCTCTGACAACCACACCAGGTTATCGAAGCTGCTAAGCGCTGCCCAGACCCTCGCGCAGCATGGGGAATGTGTCTCTTTGGCTCCCACCGTGAGCTCCACCTGTCGTCAAGCCCAGAAGCTTGGCAAAGGCTTCGTTGCCTTTCTACGCTTCTGTGTAGGTGCTTCTTAGTCGCTTGGCGAGTAGCATCCACTCTAGTAGGAACACTGGACTTAGTCTTGGCTGTAGATCGTTTTGCGGCACCAGGCCGAGATGATTGTTGATAACGTTACCCATGCCTAGTTTGAATCCATACCAAGACGCTTTCTCATGACACCTGTGCTTGTCTGCCTTCTAGACTTGGACATTCTCACCCGCCTTCCTCTCCAGGTAAACAAGCCGTCATTTCAAAGGCAACAAGACATTGCCCAGACATCCGGAATAGTGCCCGTCAAGCTTGGCAGTGGTTATCCCCGCCTTGCCACCAGATAATTATTACCGAGTATCACGGGAACAGTAGCGTAAATTTAAGGGATGGTCTAGCCAGAAAGTTATCGGTAAAGATACAGATATCACAACCTGCTTCTTGTTCTACTTCATGCAGTGCGCGATGTTGATCTCATCGAGACTTTCGCTATGGTCCTACGCAAGAGGAAGGTGTGTAATAGGAAGATAGAAATACGGGGGTCAATGACATGACTCTGGCCGCAAGCGAGTGCAGACATTGGCCAGGGAAGATTATGCTTATATATGCTTAAATGTAAAGCCAGTAGCAGGTGCAGGTGCAGGTGCCAGAATATGCCAGTTGTCCGCTGAACATCCATGTCCGCCCGCACCCCGAGGCTCCTGTCTGATGCCAAGCAGCAGATTAAATATCGTTGTTATGCATTACCCAATCATTAACTAGCGTGAGATCCGCAATACTGCATGAGGTTGGGTGCTACTCTGGGCATTCTCTGGAGGTTATGACATAGGAGAGAATGTTGCCCCTCCGGATTTCCTTGCTCGCTTATTAACAAGATTCCGTCTCCTTGACAAACCCGACGTTGGTTCTATCACCGCCGTACAGCTAGACATTCCCACACACACACACACACACACTCATTCACACACACATACCCCTATGTCCAAGCCAAAGATAGTCGTCGCGATACTAGTTCTGCTAGTCACAACTTTCTACCTCTATCATTCCGGCTCAAATCAAGGCCTGATTCCATTCCACACCGGGGGTGGCGAATCAACCATGGCAGACAACTCTCTCCTCTCCAATCTTGTCATTTCTGTCCGCTTGATCTCCTCCGATCCTCCCACGCTCGGACTTACTGTCAAGAATGAGAATTCCGTCCCCGTGACGATCTTCACCTGGGATTCCCCTCTCGATCCTCTGGCACTTTCATTGGGTGTCCTTTCAATCACACCAGTGGGATCCTCCACCCCGTTCAAGATTCCAGAGATCAAAGTGTCACGCAAGTTCCCACCCGGAGAAGACGCTCTTGTGGAATTGGGTGCAGGACAGTCGAGCAAGGAGAATGAGTTAGTACTGAAGGAAATGCTGGGGGCCAAGGAATTGCGGGAGAGGCAAGTAGAAAAGGCGTCGGTGCAATGTAAAGGAGAGTGGAGGGCCGTCTGGGCTACGAGCAGAAAAGAGTTGGATCAGGAGAGCATTGAGAGGATGGGCACGGATGAGAAAGCCGCGTCCGGAAAGTATCAGTCGGACACATTTGAGGTCGCCTTCAAATGATGCATGGAAGCAGGTGTTGTGGGCTTTCCGCCTTGTACTAGGTAGTTAACAATGTGAGAACCATTCACGCTTTCTTGAAACCAGTCACAACCCCAGACTTTTCGTTATCAGTATCAATGGACAGTTACAATAGGCACGACCCAAACGACTAGAAGATTCACCTCTATCGTTTCTCGCTACCACAGTTACCTCGTAAGGCGGAAAGGATGCGTTGCATTGATGAACGTCGTATCTCGATTAGGTTATAGATGTACACTACAACGCTGCCAAATGCACCCTTTCCACGCTTTTGTCAAAGTACATACGAGCATCTCAGTTGTGTCCTTCCTTTTTAGGGCACATAGAATATAGTTGACCGCGAAGGGCAGCAACGGGTGGAGATTGGTCTATTCCAGTGAGTCTATGCTTCTGTTGGAGGAAGGGCGGGAGGAAGAGGCTGTGAATAAAGTCACTGATCATTCTCGTGCACTGTATCGTCCATATTGCGCTCCCAAAGACTATTCGTCAACAAGAGCATAGGCTAGTCTCCCGTAACATGGCTGCTGAATCTCTACTATTAGTCACCATATATGATCAGGCTCTCCACCAAAATTGTAACAGCCGTAGCAACAAAAAGTGTCCCCAGAGAGGGTCGAACTCTCGACCTTTGGATTGCCATGGCATGAATTCCCAGAGGTGGACCCCCGGGTCATAACTATGAGACCAACGCTCTACCACTGAGCCATGGAGACTGTGTTGCTAAGCATTTATGTGGGTCTGGAGTGTTACTTGGGATCATAGAGAGCGAGGCGAGAAGGCATCGCAGAGGACAATGCTAAGCGTTGCGATTGTTGAGGGGGAGAGAGGAGCGACAACGGCACGATCTTGCGGGGCGACTACCCAGCCCTTGACAAAGACGGGCCCCGACGAAACACCATCCTCCATGAAGGGTAACGGATATGAAAGACTGAAATCAACCCAGGTCTAACTCTAGAAGATCGTACAAACAAGTCTAAAGTCCACTGATGTCTCCTTGCAAACCACTTCAATTTCCCTTGCCCACGGCCCGGACATACTTCGCATAGTCTCCGCCCGCCGTCGGTCCCCACATCCAGAAGGCCCAGGCGACCAGAAGGAACATGCCCACAATCCCCACAAGCTTCGTTCGCGCAGGGTTCTTCTGGCGATAGTCGCCAAAGCGCAGGCGCGCATCGGTTGCTAGGGATTGCAGGTTCTCAGCGCCCAGCTTGTAGTACGTGAGTCCAGCTAGGGCGATCGAGTACCCGAAGAACTGCTGGCCCGTGACGGGATCGTGGAAGATGAACATGGAGGCGAAGACAAGGAGGATGTCCTTGAGCACGCCCGACATGGTGAGGACTACAGCAGAGGTTTGACCGATCTGGATGTGTCAGTGGTTGCATCGGAAAGTGGGGATCAGGACGATTTGTGGCTTACAAGAAGAACTGAGGAGACGTTCAGGAAGAATGCCACCAGAGCGTTAGCCAACAGAATGAAGGGCCCAATCGCATAGATGTCCCCCATTGTGATACGAGGACCCTCGACAAAAAGTGTGATCACAGCGTTCGTAACAGCACATGCAGGCGCATAGTAGTATAGTGAGACCAGCGGGTCCATCTTGAAGTCGCCAGCACTCAGTAGACGTTGGACCATGACCAGGCGCAGCGCCTCGGTGACGATGCCGCCAATCTGAAAGACGAAGCCCCAGAATTCGAACTTGATCTCGCCGAATGATGCGATGACAACGCCGAGGACGATGATGGCAACGTTGCCCAGGACTTTCATGTTTGGGGGCGCGATGCCGAATGCCCAGGTGGCAAGAAGGACAGCAACTGCTGTAGTGGCCTTAAGAGGTGTTAGTCGAGTTGCCGGACTCCAACTTCAGATGTACGAGAAAGAACATACTTTCAACATCTGGATGAAAGAAACGCTCAATGTGAGGTATGCCAGATTTCCACAGATTAGGGTCAAGCTGAACATAACGCCGATGGGAACAATGGCCCGCCTAAGAAGAAGCTTCCCATCAGCATTTCCTTATATCGCAACACTTTTCATTCTTGTCAAAGCCACCCACATATATGTTCGCGTGGTCATCGGGACCTTATGGCGGGAGTCGAGGGTTTTGGTGAAGCGAGCCATGTACTGGGTCATGATGGTTCCAAAGACCTGATGCCATGTCGTCAAGAAAAGCGCTGGAGTCGCCAGGGTTAGTATTGGAAATGGTATCACAAGTCGGTATTGCCAACATCGGAGAGTGTAAAGTATGACTCACGAAAATCTGCAAAGAAGACGACAGGTTAGCACAAATCTTGCTGTGACAGAAGCCGCCAGCGCAGCAAGGGAGATGAAGGGGGCAGGGGAAGGCGGCGCACTGAATTTGGCGGTTGTTAGGATCCATTTGTTGAACAAGATGATGCTCGAACTGAGAAATATCCAGAGCGCGATGTAGAATGCTGGATGAAGACCACCCCCAGCGCTCGGCGGAGGCTCCAGTGTCTGGGCAGTCCCGGCCTCGAGTTTCCGGTCCTCTTCGGAGGAGGAGCGTTCGCCTGCCATCGTGGAGGTTCGGCCCCAGTCGTATATCACAGGGCTCGAGGGTGGACGAAGCGGACTAGTTCAAGTCGCGAGATCGGTATGCTGTCGTGTGGGAGAGAATTGGAGGCGGAACGAGTGTTCCTGGACAGAGGAGAGATGTTTTGTTGACACCAAAAGCGCCACGGGTCGTCGAGGTTGACAGCTGGAATGAGGCATGACGAAGATGTGGCTTGGTGCGGCCCGTCCCTTGCTCCCTTGCAGCGCAACATTGCGCGTGTGGCACAGGTCCTCATACACTAGCCACCCCCTAATTTCTTCCCGCGTAAATAAGCCCCAGTGCACTTTTCGACAAGTGCCACTTACACACATATGAATTCATGCGCCCGGGTGGACAAGTTGTGAATTATTTCACACGCATGCGGTAGAAATACAGCCTGGAGTTCCTTACCATTTGTGATGATCTGTGATGGATTTTCATGCCGTAATATACAGGATGTTGTTGGATATTCACTCAGTCAATGTAATGAAACTCAGAGAATCCGTCGAACCAGGGCGATAATCACTGAAATTATTACCATTCTCTTGCCTCAGCCTCAGACCTCAAGCTGTCAGGAACTATGAAGCAGCTCGTTAGGTGTGTAGTCACGGAGTTTTAAACCGAAATTATTCTTACTTCTTTCTTCTGCATCGGCGAGGAATGGAGGGAGCAGTGCGTTTAAGGGCAACAAGTTAATTACAGCTAATGCGTTGAACTCATAATCTGTCGTCTACGGATTGTGTACGGCAATGTCGAAGTCATGCTTTAGACCAGTGTAGGCCAAGAAAGGAATAAAAGAGACACAAAAAGCCCTGAATCCATCGCTTTCATAACACCTGTGCCAGTCAAAGCAAGATCAAGCTTCGAGTTCCGCAATCAAGCTTTTCATCTTACCATCCTGCTCAGCTTTTTCATTAGCCCACCGGCCCACATCATCAGCATTCACTGGTGTGTTGCTTGTGTTCAGCAATGCATCTCTCGATGTTTTCAGAGATTGAGTTCGTCTCAGGCTGGGCGTGCTTCCAACGTCTGAGCCCGTAAATGACCGCAAGCTTGTACCTGGACTGTGTTCTTCAGTAGATGGGCTTCTCAATGTCTTGAAACGTTTCAATGTTGAGTTCCGATAGTCCACACTATGTCTCTCGACGCGGATCCGGGGCGGAAGCACTATGTCCGACAGAGTTCGATTAGTCCAATACTCAATTTTTCACCAGTCGTGGGTCTTGATCAACCTGATTTGGGTTACGTGAAATATTCACCTTGAGTTGTTTTGTCCTCGCTGATGAGCTCCCGAGGGAATCCACTGATGGGGAGAAGCGAATTAGTGGAGATGGGATAGGGTTCTTCGGTAAGACAGAGAGATATCGTCGTGGCTGCTAGCTCCTTTGACACGAATATCTTGAATTGCTGGAATTTGAATGTTCCGCGTAGGCACATGTCCGATATGAGCGACTCGCCCAACGGCAGCTTGACCTCACGCATGAGCTGAGTTTCCTCCTCTGCTACCGCGAAGTAGGGATTGAAGTCATTTCGGTGACAATTCCGAAGAAAGCCTCCAAGGCCCTTCATGTCGTCAGAACCATTGGCAAATCTGCAATGAATTGTTCCTAGAAAAAAACACAAAGACACGTTAGCTGATAGCAACACCACTAGGCTTCCCCCCTGGAGAAAAAACAAGACAAGCAACGCGCATGATCATCGGGACATACCGGAGCATTCGTAGCCCGAACCACGATGTTTTATCGAACCATTATCTTTCTCGAAGAAAAAAGTGCTCGCAATTAGTCTATGAGCAATTTCTCGAATTCTTGCTGGGTTATTCCTCAAGTACGTTGCGGTGTTTCGTTTGAGCTGTGCCAAAGCATCAACGGCGTCGAGTTCAGGCACGTCCATCCGCAGCTCTGGATCGATCCGTATCAGGCGACGATGACCTCCAAGCCTACCTTGTCGAGAAGTAGTCGTTTCCGTGATGTAGTTATTCCAGATTTCTTTGCATTTCATGAGACTTCCCAAACGGTCAAATAGGATTGTCCACATTTCCTTTGCGAAAAACCGGCTTGTGGGTGCCCTGGGCTTGAAATTCGAGGAGTCTTGTGGGTCCTCGGTTTCCATGATGGTACTGCTAGGACCTCCTCGGAGATCACTACGGACCTCTTTATCGTCTGTACCTGTACCAATTGACAGAAGTATATCCGGCAGGGCCGTCGCAACATCTCCCCAGATCAATTGTCTTTCGTGATGAGCCACCCACACAGGACAGTTGTTGTAAAGTGCGCCATCTAGATAACTGTCTGCCGTTGATTGTTTGACAAACTTCTTGAAGAATGGTGGGGCTGCAGATGTAGCTCGGGCTCTGGGGAAATGTAAGTATCGTGCAATTTAAGTAGAGGTAGTTCTGCAGCCGTCTTTAGGAATGCACATACGCTTCCCATATCTTGAACTCTTTGGATGGGCCATTGGACCTGAGGAACTCGTAACTCAAATCTGAAGGATATCAGGCAAATTTCACTGATGACATTGACACAGGTGCCCGAGGAGCGACTCACCATTGTCTAAGGAATTTGGCCGGTTGTAATTTGCGAGCACGACAGGATGCTGTTGAATTGCTGTAGTTGATGTGACGGCAACTTTGGTGAACATCTCACCGAGCTCACTTTGACCTCCGAAAAGCGGCCATTCTTCGAAAGTCTCCTTCAAAACCTTCTCAAAAGGTTTGGTCTTGTACTTACTTCCATGGCTGAATATCGCGATCTTCTCCAGCAGTGGGATTCCGTTCAACTCCCTTGGTTGAAAAGCTTGAGTGCATAGGTCTTCAAACTTCTTGATGCATTGGTCGACAGTCCAGTTCTTGACACCGAGGCCAAGAGCGATTATGCCTCCAGTGCTACGGTATGTCATTTTTGTCAGCACTGGCGTATTACAGGAAGTCTCTCTTTCTTCGACTTCGCAAGTTGTAAGGGTACTCACCTAGTCCCCACAATGAGGTCGAAGAACTTCTGTATCGGAAGTTTGTCCTCAAGTTGTGTCTGAATAGCTTTCAATACTTGCAGTTCCACGATTCCTCGCACGCCGCCCCTAGGAAAGGTTAGCCAAGCCATGCAATTGACATTGATGTGCAAGAGGGAACAAAACTTACCCATCCAGACAAAGAGTGCGCACACC